GGACTTTACGCATTAACTACACGCAATCGAAACCGACTTCATGGAACAGAGATCGACTGCATGCAGTTAACGCGTTAATGCGTGAAGGCGTTATTAACTTCATGCAGTCGTGGTCTCGGCTGTATGAAGTTGATTACGACTTCACGCTTTAACTGCAAAACATGCCATCAATCTGTTAGCAGCATAAGACGGAAACTGATGATTTATAGGAAATATCTAGTTCTTAGGTTTTCGCGATTATTACACATAGGAAATGAAACTATTTTTCCGGAAAAATAGTTTCATTTCCTAGATTTATAGGAAAGTTTATATTTATGGGGTGGAGTGGGTTGACCACGATGGCAAGCATTATTGTGTATGCCATCGATACGACAAGAAGGAACGTTTGAGATGCACCTCGAGAGAGGGATGCAAAGGGGAAATTGACTACCTTCCTTATAGACAACCTTTATAGAACAGTCAACCTCACCTTCTCGTGGTGCACCATGCTATTCAACGAACGAGACTCCGGCGACATTTAAACATTTAAACAAGTGCCTTTTAAATATAAAATATCCTACTCTCTTGCTGTAAAATAAGCTCATATTTCTATGACGTATTTAATACGGAAAAGGGAGAAAAAATTGCATTGAAACATTTCTAATAACATCGGCCTGATTTTTCCGCGCATGAATGTAGTAAAAAATAAATATTTTGCGGAATTTCGTGTTTTTTTTTTATTCAGTATAGTATAGTCCATCGTGTTTCATACCCCATAATTCATTACTGTCTTCTGTTTTCATTATCAATAGAAAAAAGTTAAATTTGTAATTTAAATTTGTGTGTATTTTTTTAAATCGAAAAACCGATTTTCCGAATTCAAAAGCTATATTGGTTCTCACACCGAACTTAGGCGCTACGCAGATGGAGTAACTTTGATCATCGAGTTTCGGCAACTGGCAACTCGCAACTAGCTGTTTATGACGTTATTCATATAATTTCAAGAAATCGCGCAAACGTAGCAACTTCTGTTAAGAGTTTCGAAATCCGTGATTTTAATTGCTGCAACTAGAAACTTGCAAATTTGTAGCGGTTGTCTCCAGTTGCCAGTTTCCGCAACCGGCAACCACAACTCGTGAAGCTACTTCACTTACTCTCCGTTCCCCGCAGCGTCAGTCTTGACCGTGGATTTCGAAAGTTTATAAAATTGCGGCAACCGGCAACTAGGCCTTTTAGTTGCTACAACCGGCAACCGTCAATGGAAACTTGTAAACTGTTGCCAGTTGCGTCAATTAAAGTTGCTCCACCTGCGGAGCGCTTTAGGAGCTCAGAAATTCATATTTTTGGTTTATCATGCAAAATCTGCAAGATCGATTAGTAAATTGTATTCGAAACCAATTTTTACTTGAAAATTAAAATTAATTTTCTGCGAAAATTGATTGTTTTCGCAAGACCGATTGAACTCCCATGGTGGCTACAAATTCCTCAAATGTTTTTGTTACACCCTACATATATGTAGAGCAAAAACTTCAAACCGCGTGCTGTATGTGGACATATTGTATACTGTGCTCCAAAACACAAATCATCGATACTAGTAAAAAAGCCGCCAGCTTGAAATTAAAAATAGGCTGGACACGTCTGCCGCATGTCAAGCAAGACCACCAAAGAGTGGATCCCTCCAAACGCAAGACGAAGACGTGGAAGGCCCAGATGGAGATGGCGTGACGAGCTAGATGCTCATATGAGATCTTGGCCTAAACCGGTGTTAAATTGCGTTAAATGGAGGAGGGTAAGGGAAACCGTAGCCTGCGGTAGGATTACAACAGCTGATATGAAATGAACATATAGCGTGATCTAAAGTCAGCTCTCGTAATAAGTCTGTAGTTTCACAAAAACTCCATCAGAGTCACTTGGTACTACCCAGAACACACGCTTATCATTAAAAAATCCCTTAAAAAAACTCACCGATCTGATTGTTGACTCTATTGTCAGACTTGTGCCGGAGCCAGTCCTCGTATCCTTGCTTCACAGCCGACACCAATACTACGAAGCTGAGTGGCGCTATACTGGTTATTGGGGATACTGGACTATCTGCAATAGGCGTATAGCCTCTTGTGAATTATGAAATCCACTTATCGTCGTCTTAGAGTGAATACCTCGTATGTGATTTCTATGTAATTTTTCAGGGCGAAAATAAAAATGTGGTGTAAAATGTAGTAATGCGCAATGATGTTTGTAGTTAGCATTTTAATTACTTAAATTATACCTCTTTCAGATACTATATTACTATAATAATATATTTGATCAAGAAGTTTATAAGTTTTTCTTCAACAAAAATCACCAAATACGAACTATGTGATAACGCGTATGCGAGATTTTCACTCTAAGACGACGTTACATATGTGCTTAACACGTTACTGCACCGGATACCGTAACTACTCAAGCCAGCTATGTATTTTGTGTCTATTCCGTTTGCTAATGCTCGTATGAAATAATATTTGGATTTATTCTGAATTTCACTCCGGCAGCATTATAGCCATTTAACGTGTCATTTGAATTTTGATCCGCGGTGATCACACTTGCAATTAGAATACAGCGCGCGGCAATAGATTGATGAAAAACTTAAGGCGGCCTCTCACGCTTCGTGATTTTACAGCCAATACCGCAGATTCCGTCCATTTTATATTAACAATTAACCAATTACAACCTACGGCGTCTAAGCGACGAATAATTATCAGGTAGAGCTTGAACACCAGCAAATTGCTGAGATTTTTACCTTCTTCGACGCAGTTTTAAGCCGTTGAAGAGTATATATATATTTCAATTAACTAATTACAGATGACACCTCAATACCACTAATTTAATTGGCTCCCCATTCGCTATACATTGATTCGTTCACCGATATGGACGCGTAGACATCACGACAGACGACCCTCTTCTCATAGTGCGGGGGTGGGAGCTGATCATTGAAATCACGGACCGTTTGAAGCCGCCTTTATATATACAATCACGTGTGCGAAAAAAATGGCAAAGAAAAAATGTCTTACTTACCTATAACAACGGAGATTATAGTAACAATAAGAAAATAGAAGTTAACGATTCTCCTGAACTGTTCGGCAAGATTTTTCGGCAGGAACATGAGTAACGTGTACTTGGAAGTCTTAATCTTGTTGTGCTTCTTCCGGTCGTGATGTTCGGAGCCCACTGCTATCTGCCGCGTCTCCGAAAAGGATGAGACTTTGTTGCCCTAAACATAAACAATAAACATAATAAAAAGCTGAATAGGCCTATCCGAAATTCTACCACAACTGTAACGGATTTTAAGACCGGAAATTTCAAACAAAGAAAAATTTCATTTGGCAATCTTTGTTTGTCATCTCTGATATGACCGGCAATCACGTTTATACACTATGGTATCTCAAATCCGGCAAGCCACGTGTACATACATCAAAAGGGCTCTTATCACATGAAACTCATAAAAATAATATCGACGCTTAAAAGGCAAAAAAAGATAAGCGACAGTTTTGGTCATATTGAATTATATTTGCCGTTGAAATTAGCTAATGTTTCTGATTCCAACGGTATACATAACTCAATATGACCCAAAAGTGTCGCTTATCCCATTTTGCCCTTCAAGTGTCGATAGGACCTACATAAAACACATTATTATGTTTATATGTGAAACTTATAACCCTCCTATTTAAGAACAGAGAAGTTACAGACTAATTTTGTTCGTTGAATCTCTAAACCTCTCTTTAAAAGTTGTAATTTTACAAATCCATGGCTTTCTAGAATAGTGGTCTATCTCAAAATCAACAAATTCATCAGGAAGATGGTTTAGAAGCAACTGAACCATTATGAAGCCAATGCCGACGAATCATACACCGGTCCATATTGTCACTTGATTATTTTAACCAATAAAAACTCTGTGTTTTTTTATAATTAATTAATTTAGCATATTCTAGAACACCTGTGTTATAAGATTAATGTAAACTATTTTGCTTTGAGCCATTATTCTTGAAAAACAGCGAATTGTGTCCTTTACACTAGGAGAAAAAATTGCATCTTTTAAATTTGAACATTTATGTAAGAAAGTTTAAATGTAACTAACTTACTGTAATTAATGAATAATACGCTATAACCACCATAACAAAATACGAGATTTCATGGTTATTTGTCATGTACAGATTGTTAAAAAAATCACGACTACGGTAGTTTATTATTCCAATTATGCGAAATGTTGATAACAATGCTTTTGAATTTCCCCATTGGTCATATTCTGGTAGACCCATAACGTTTTTTGCTCTGATGGATTAGTTGGAAGAACACGAACTGGTAAATAATATGGTGTAATCAAAATAGTGACAGACGTACTATTCACACGAGGAACAAAAATGAACTAGCTATACTTGACAGTCGTCTTCAAAAGTCACAATTTCATTTATAGACTTTTACAACATTTGACATCCTTGATGGTGCAGTGGTTTTATCAACCGAAGAACCACGATATGTCCAATTAGAGAAACGAACTTGTCTAAATCACAGAGCTCTGAAAATAATTGCGTCGCTCTGGTAGTCATTGTACAGAGAGTACCTTGGTATCAGACGCAGTTGTGGTACAAGTTTAAAAACACCGTGAAAGAAAAATCTTTATTCTGCTTAGGTAGAATAGAATAGAATTGAAATCATTTATTCTGCATAAGACCACGGCACACACACATTGCATTACTAAAAAAATACATAACAGTTTGCGACTACAAAATCAGATGTAAAGCAAAATCCGATAACAAAAATCCATGTCAGTTACCAGTTTAGCTCTGGCATGTTGTTACGCGCAATGTCTTTAAACAAATATTGTAAATATATTGTAGATCTTAGAATAATAACGCATAGAATGATAGTTTCATATCAAACGAACTGTCATAGGTGAGGCAAGAATCAAATTCATGTAGGCTAGTTTTAGTAAATATTTAATTAATTTTCGGTTTTAGTGAATATTTATATAAAAATGCAAGTTGAAACGCGTTACTTGCTTGTGAAATGTGATGTTAGTATCTATTTTATGTTTGTCTGCGGTATTTTTACACTCATTTACCGCACATTTCGTCATTTTTAGCTAAAATTCTTGAGCTGCTCGCGGTGCAAGTTGACCTTGAGCACTGAAGGCCCGCCAGCTCGTGTAGGCCCATTGAGAGCGCTTCAATTTGCCTCACTTAGCGTGTACGGGCTAGGTTTCTATGCGTTATTATTCTAAGTTGTAGATAATGTTAACAAGGAACTATGTATGTATTTACAAAAATTACTCATTATTCTTAATTTGCGTTACGACATCTAGCAACGTGGCGATTTTGTTTTACCTACGTAATGAAGGCATTTTGAATTTGATTGCGTATTGAATATTGCCGGCATGTCACTAAGTCTTTTCCAATTTTTTTTATAATGACAAGACGAACAAGTCGTGTGCCTGGCCGTAAGCAACATGCCCATGTTGCTTATCCATAACAGTTGCCGTACCATTTAGGGCCTTAAATCGCAAAGATCTGAGGGGCACTGCCACTGCGCCCGTCACCCTGAGACATAAGTTGATAAGTCCCATGTGCCTATAATTTCACCAGCATCCTTACCCTTCAAACACAGTAATGCTGACATTAGTGCTTGGCGGCAGAAATAGGTAAGGTAGACCTGGACGAACTCTTTCTCATGGCGCTCTACTAACTACTAATCATAATTTGTTTATAAGGAAGTAAGAATAATAATAATACCGTAAAATATCGTATTGTGAAGGAAAATATCGTGAGAAAACCCTAAATCTCAATGTAAAAAGATAAGTGTAGTCCCATATGTACATTAGCCAGCATAGAGAACTGCGATCCAACTTCTTCTAAATTGTACAGAAGAGACTGAACGGCATAAAAATGGCATAAAAATTTGCTGGTCACATCGATGTCTATCAAGCTACTATATTTCCTTTGCATTTGGACCACAAACTAAAAGTATTACACACTAATATGTCACATCGGTTGGTTTATCGCAGACATTAGAGAGCCACATGTAGTGTTGGGTCATGGAACAACTTCCATTTTGAAAAAATCAATTTCTTCAGGACCGTAAATATTTTCTTGAATATTTTTCCCAAATTGTATATAAACGTTGAGCAATGTTTATACAATTTAATTTTATAATTCATGCTAAATAAAGATATATCTAAATGTAGAACATAATATGAGTTTTCCAATGACAATTAGCAAATAATTTTATTAATAGTACAATAAATGTTATTATAATCATATTACTTATATATAAATTATAATTATTTACTTTCCAAAAACTAAATTAATTACAAATGTCAATCCGCAACGTAGGTTTCGTCAGGTTTTCAAATTATATTTTTCAGATAATTTTTTTGAAAAATTTCCATTGTTAAAAATTTTTCGGAGGGATAGCCACGTGGTCCCGAGTCCGAGTGCATCTTGTCAGTGGGTACAGTCACATAGAATCATCCCTTGAATGTTCACTGCCGAATTAAATAATTAATATAAATTAATTATGGAATAATAAATTTAACTGCCCCCGTGGCGTGAACGGTTACCATGTCGGAATGCCACGCAGAGGTCCCAGGTACGATTCCCGGACCGGGAGAAATATTTTTATAGCCTACATTTATTTCTGTCGTGAGTTTAGGTGTAATTTGTGGTTGTCTATATGTGTGTCCATGGCACCCGCGACACAGGGTTTCCTAGTGCGGGGCTATGTTGAGTGTGTGCGTTATTATTATTATTATAAATATCACACAATACGCTAACAGTTCGTTAAAGTCCAGGTGCTATTAAGTATCTTCGCTCACAGGGAAGCCTGTGAATTCAAAGCTGACTTTTGTTCCACGTGGACGTAATCGATTACCTAACAAACGTGAAGTAGGTAGGCGTGTAGTAACTAAGTGTGTAATAATAATAAAGCTGCGCGTTTTGGTAGATAAAGTTATACCAATTTTGGAGAATGGAGGTGTTTGCACCGTTGTGGGCGTATAGGTTGGACGTACCTAAGTGGAAAAATACCACGTGTCCTGAATGTAATTAATTTCGCTTGCACGTTTATATTGCGAACGGCTATGAAGTCAAATTCCCTACCTATAGAATTAATTCCTGAAGGCTATAAATTAGGTCTTTTCAAGGCGAGAGTGAATAGGCATTATTTAGGTGCATGTTCAGTCGTCGACCTCATCCTCACTTTCCGTCAGGTGGAGGTCAAATGCGCACTATTTTTACATAAAAAAATTTCAAAATTTCCCATTATTGGTAAAATTTCTATTGAATTGATATTCAATTATTTTTTGTGTAATTACTCCACTAGTTTGTTATAATTATTAATACAAAGATCGAACATTCAGAAAAAACACTCAGAAAAAAATCCTTCGATCCGGTCGGATTCGAACCGACGTCTTCTTGTATACCGTGGCAGACGCTATACCAACTAAGCCACGGAACGAACCAACGGACCTCACGAATTTTTCTATGTGCTTGCGTCGTGTCTTTGCACTTGGTCTTTCAACGACTTTTTAGTCGTAGCGCCATCTATGAGAAATCAATGACAGATTTATCACCCAGTTAGTACCTTTACAGCTACCAGTCCTGGCGAGAGATGTCGCTATTCACTGTATTAATTAAATTTTTATTGAATTGATATTCAATTATTTTTTGTGTAATTACTCCATCCGTCCTAAATCCGACCGGATCGAAGGAATTTTTTCTGAGTGTTCGATCTTTGTATTAATAATTTCCCATTATTGGATTAAAGGTTATATAAAACTATACGAAATGTAACTGGAAAAATTTGTGTAGCGAAACACAGCAGTCGCTACAAATCTCTTTTGTATGTATTTTAGTCTCTATAAAGTTTAGTTTTTTATTTAAATTCTAAATTTAAATGAGTTTAGGAAATGAAACTATTTTTCAGGATTTAAATCGCGTATATTTGTTTTTTCAAACAAACCAACGTTTCGGGCCCTTTACCAATGGACATGGTCACGGTTGACTGAGGTGATACAGTCTTCAACCAGTTATGTCTAATATTGATGCAAACCACCCTATTTTTTTCATTATAGTTACAATAGTTATTAATTAAATACCTTATTTTTAATTTTACAAAAACATTCCAATTTACGCTACATTAAGTTTTACAAATTATTTTATTGAATGAATTTTTATTAAGTTCAATTTATTATTTATTAATAATAGAAATTAGAATAAA